CGTTATATGTTGCCAGGTCGAGTCGTCGTAGGTGGCAACCGAACCTCCACCGGAGAATCTTAGCACCCCCTGCCCCGCCGTTACCATGGTCGCCACCGTAGCCAGGAATAGCGGGGCCACCGGGGACTGGGGGCCGTTTTTTTGCGTCGTTATTCATGGTTATATATCATATTTGCCATAATTGCCACGCTTGGCGAGCGGGTTGGCAACCGCAGATTTTTTTTATTATAACACAGTTGTTATCAGAAAGATGCTGCTGCCTATCTCCTGCCTGTCTCCCTCTGTCGCCTCTTACGACACCCACGGGAAGATATGGGGTAGTGGATATTCTCAACCGCCACAACACGGCAAGTGACTCCATAAAATGGATAAATCGTAAAAAATTGAGTTTTGAGGAATATTCAAATCAGGAACATGTATGGGATTCGCATCAAAAAGTCATTTAAGATGTTATGCTCAAAACAACGTTTGGCATCACATTTTAAAAACTGCTATTTCCAGTAACCATTGTAGGGTTTAAGTAGAAAAAGGAATCTTTAATGAGATATAATATAATAAGCAAATATATAATCAAAATATTTATATTAAGCAATAATCGATTTAAAAATAACAGTTTACACTCTTAAAGTACAAATTATGAAATAATTAAACTTTGTTCGAACTCACTATATGACTGTATCTTATTGTGTTAATAAATTCATAAAAATGTAGCAACTCTTACCTCCGTATTGAAAATAATGTCCATTTTACTCGAGCATTATCTGCATAGGATGCTAAATGCAAGTGTTGACGCTTAAGTTAAGTCGTAGTATAATGCCATATTTTTACGTCCTAATTATTGGAATATTAGAGACTAACGTTAGTGTGGCCCGAGCATTTCGAGTAGGTTTTAATTTTTTTTAGGCAGTTAGGCTTATTTGGGTAAGTCCGGCCTTTTTTATAACCAAGCAGCAATGTATTCTCTCTGTTGTGTAAGGGTTTGAAAAAATTCCATCTTAGTCTTCAATGATCAAAATGGACATGCAACTTGATTTTTTGAAATTGTTTTTGAAGTCCGCTTTACCATCTGTGGCTGCGTCTTCACTTATCATGAAATGGGATAGTAGTCAAGCGCTGACTTAGAACTAGAAAGAGTAACTAAAAAGTTGGTTGCAGGTACTCATTGATACCATTTCCATAATCAGTCAATCTGCCATCATCACGTAACCATGTGTGCTACTACTTATATACGTGGTAGAGCCATGCTGCAGTTATATTAGTAATATAGTTGTAGCACGACTGGGTTGGCTCGACCGAGGAAGAACCACGCTCTCACAGAATACCAGCGTAAAATGGTAGCTTAATGTTGCTGTGTTTCGTATGACAACGCATCTGCGTTTTGATTCGTAATCGAGGTTACATGTAGGTCTATATGGACCACAGCAACCACTTATCTTCGGGTGGACTGTGTGCTCGTTTATCACCCTATCCCATAAAAAGAAACCTGCATACTTCTTCGTCACTTTACTGTTATCATCAACATCAGACTGCCACGCTCGGCAATTGGTAGACGTTATGGCAAACATTTATCGTCTGGGGATTTTATGCCATCTAACTAAGTAACACCTTACGACACCCATGATATGAGATGGAGTAATGTTTTCTTTTCCGATGGCACTCTAAAGTAAATTTTTTTGATACGACCTGGGGACCTTCAAGAAAAGAGCGTACTCCTTTCTAAAGGGCCGGCAACATACCTGCAATTCCCCTGGTGTTGCGGTTGATCATGGGCGGCGGTAGTCACTTAACATCAGGTGAGCCGCATGCTCGTTTGCCCCCTCTTCTATAAAAAAATGTAAAATTTACTTTTTTAACAAATTCCCCATAATTGTATACTATTTGACCCTGGTATTATGTATGACTTAGTCCTTCCTTAGCTGAACCGATATTATTTTCATTCATTCATTACCTATCAAAGTCCATTGCCGAACATAGGCCGACCCCATAGATTTCATCGTAGAGGGATATTTACCACGGCTGGCATCAGTAGTTTTTATTATATTTTGGCTTGTTATCATTATGAAAGTTGCTCATTTTCCGTTTCAGCTTCCTTATGTCGCATCTTACGACATCCACAGGTTGAAATAGAGTAGTGGATTATCTTACACTACCACTACGCGGCGATGTATTCGTGTTGCAGCTTGTTGTTATCACGTCAAAAATTGACAAACTAGTAAATTTATTTGCTTTCAGGGTGTACAATCAGCAGGAAAAGTCGTATACTTCACAGCACTCTTCCCATACGTAATGTTAACTGCTTTACTGATTAGAGGAGTAACTTTAGATGGAGCCTCAGAAGGAATCTTATTTTATTTGTCACCTGATTGGAGCACTCTTGCAGATGCAAGAGTATGGGGAGATGCAGCTTCACAGGTTTACAAATACGTTTATATTCTGCAAAATTTTATCAACGTTTAAAACATATTTTCTAGACAATATGTGTAGTAAGTTTACTACTCCAATAAACTGCAAGTAAGCTTTGACGGATTCACAACAGTAATCAAATGGCGGATTTGAACTCAGCCCTTTGAAGTTTGAGGTTAATATCCTTAACTAGAGACAGTTGTCATTTCTTGACTTGAATTCCAGTTGGAGCCATCTAGTTTTCAGTTTTCTCAATTATTAGATTGTAAATATTATTAAGATAACAAGTACCTGTATATATTACTACGTGTACGTCTAGATTATCTTGTACGTAGTTTATAACTTCCTGTCTTCATCGATTTAATATTATTATATTATTTATATTCCTCTTTCTTACAAGATCATATAATTATCACCTCTGGATGTGTTAGAAAAAGAATTTTCACTTAAAAAAAGTGAAAATATACAAAGGTTTTGCCAATATTTAGGGACAATCTTAGCTTTCTACATGAACTTCACAGTGTTAAAATTTAAATCTAGACCATAATTACGATGCACAAATTTTGACAATGTGGAGTCTGATCGTAAAGTAAAGATTTTTTCTGAATACCGACTGCCTTAGAGTCGATTTTCAGATCCAAGGACCTAATGAAACATTAAATTATCCCTACAAAATTTTATTACTAAGCTAATTCAATTTCATGAAACTATGCGAAAGTAATTGTAGTTTTAATCCGTTTTTCTTAAATGAGATATTTCGACTTCAATTAGAAATTCAAAACTTTTGCGACGAACATCAATCTCTTGAAAGAGATGAATTAACTAAAATTATCCTCAACGCAAAGTCGATGCCTTTACCAACCAACTTAAAGAGCTGATTTCCATCATTCCCATGTAAAAATTACAAAGTTTTAATTATTCGTTAATAGGAAAACCTGCTGCTGTTAATAATTTTTCTTTTAAAAGTAATTAGCAGCTCTTGATTTATTTCTTGAGAGATAAAGAGAGAGAGAAGAGTTAATAATTTATATACTTGTAGAAGTGAGTGAATACTCTCATTAAAATTAACTGATTTCGTGGTCATTCCTGAGTCTCACCATCTCATCATTCGTAAAAACTTTTGAACGTTATTAACATCTTCATTGATACGGCGTTTCACAAATCCATTATTGAACATATCTCCCACAAGGAATGCCACAATACACGATCCTGAACCACCTACATATGTATCCATTCACTTCGTATGTGAAAATGTTTTATTATTTTAAACCCCAGTGACAAACGAGTTACATATACAGTCTATCTAACTTCAAACCTTCTTTATTTGAAGTCACCCAAGTTCAAACAAAGAAGATTACGGATACGTTATCACCTCTGAGAACTAAGGTGGAATGATGCACAGCATGGAATTGGTTTTTTATACTCTTCAGACCCGAATACAGCAATGCAACTTGGTAGCTGAAAAAAAGTGGTCTAGGTGTGACCCGAAAGGTCCACCCGACTAACTTCCTAGTGGAAAGAATAAAAAAAAATCATATGTCTTAATATTATATACAATTTTTATTCAGCACAAAAAACGAGTTGGCCGATTTTGCTCAAAATTTAATGAGGTCTAAGTTACATAATTATGCGTTAAATGAAACTGGTCCCATGTCAATATCACTCTTTGTTCTCGACATACACGAGGCGAAAATAGAATCCGAACATACATACATACATACATATATACGTACATGTGTACACACGGTCATCCTCTTAAAAACTATGCTATTCTGCTCTAAAGACCTTGAAAAGTGGAGATATATTAAAATTTCCAATTTGCAAAATCGGACCCATTACAATAACTTCCCACTAGGAAGTTGACAGGTAAGAGGATGGTACATACCCAGACAGAATTATGAGTAGAAAAGTAGTCCTACCACCTAGTAGTTATAAGGTAGTTATTTAATAGTATTTTGAAGTGCCAGTATTTCTTTATACTTTTATTGGTTTTTTGAAGTGAAAACTTCTTTAGCGGCGTTGTACACTTTTTTGTAATGGGTAAAAAATGTTAAACTCGCGTCAGGACACGTGACCCTGATCGAAAATGCGTAAGACGGATGGAGAGAGAGAGAGACAGCCGGTGCGGCGGAGGAGGGGAAGTATCCCCCTCTCTTTCTACGGCGCGGCGAAAATGTACCTAATATAAATTGTCATGCTTGTGTACGATAGCGCAATAAACAAATAGTGTATTCTACCACGTAAATAATAGTACTTTTATACTGATAATTAAAGAATTTCGTGCAAAATGATTCTCTAACCATTCCAAAATATCAAAAATGCACAACGTTAATATTCAAGTTTTCACTTCTGCTCGGCACTCCCGGAGTGCAACCCGTCGTTTTTTTTCGTTTCGTTTTTATTCGTTCATTTGTTTCTATTTTTAGATTTTCTATTCTTTTGGAGTCGCCTGTGGATCCTTAGTTACTTTGGCTTCTTACAACAACTTTTATAATAACTGCCACTTTGACACAGTTTTCGTTTGTTTCGCGAATTTTTTAACATCAATATATGCGGGATTTGCTATTTTCTCTGTGCTGGGATTCCAAGCTGACCTCATGGGCGTTGGTATAGATGGTAAGTGTATCAACAGAATTACATTTTTAAATGATAATGTGCTTTACTGTTTTTGGAATAACATTAGTATTTTTATCTATGTATTCAAATGTTACGATTTTTTTTAAATACATATTTACCTAATCATTAAGATTTTCATATCAGTTATTATCAAATTAAAATTGGGTTATTAAACGGAAGCTTAGTTTATGTTTTGAGTTTCGTTCAACGAGACGTGCAAAATAAGTGTGTTTGACATACAATTCGAAGGGCCACTACTCAGGATACTAACACAACACCGTGTGTTGGTCATACACGCCGAAGGCTCTACAGCTTTGTTTACTTAGATCAAATTTCTACACTTTAGTTAAAGAGTCAGTGGAGAGAATTTAGGGGTGCTTCCGGTTCAGAATTTAAGCTTACACTGACAAGTGTCATACGCAAAATGTAATGTTATTGTTAGAGCAGCCTCTTGTCAGCTTTATTAAAAACAATTGAAGTAAAGCTTTTTTTAGTAACTTCATATCTATATTATGTATTTTATCTATATTATTTCTGTAAAGGCGATTGACGGCTCAATAGCGCAGTGGCTTAGTATTAAGTTGCGACGATGAGATCAACGGGTTTTGTATATCGCACGAAACAAGTATTTGCAGTGACTACAAGTGATTGCTCCGGGTTTGGTTCTTGTGCAATTTATGTATGTAAAGGGCCTCCACGATGCAGCAGAAGTTCTTAGTGGGGTTTTTTAAAACCAGAGAAAAGAAAAAAAGAAAAAGAGATACATATATAATTTACGATTAACTGCACTTTTTTAGAACTTGTCGGTTTTGTTTGAGTTTACTTTTCCTGAACGTTGAACGTTGATTTACTCAAGTTGATTAATCCAAGCAAATCGCATACACTGGTGGGCCAAAGTAAACATGCTGCGAGTATCGGTTAATCTTTAAATACATATTGATCCAATTTTAAGGAACAGCCGATTTGTTTGTCAATTGCTTTCATTTAAAATAGTTAAATAGATTTGTGTATGAACTTAACACAAGGTTTAGGACCGTTGAATAATCCACCACTAATTCACGTTTACAAATAAATTAAAGCTGTACTTGATAAAAATATTTGAATATAAAAATTTATGGCGTATTTGAAGATTCAGTTTTTGAAGAGTATTTAAACGCTGCTTTGTTATATAGTTGTTAATTATAGTTGAATGAAGACTAAGCCAAACACAACAATGCCTTTACGTTTTTAAGTTTGCGGTCATATATTCTCATTATTCACGCACTTGCCTTTAATTAACGATTGATAAAAAAAATATTTTCTAGACCAAATTATGGTCACGTAATTCAGTTACAACTGAGATCACCCACCATGCATCTGCGCAAGACAGTATTATACACACAAATGAGTATGAAAACAAAGGTGTACTCTCTGTTTCCTTACTCATATACGTCTAATCCGACACGACCGGAGAGAGATCAGGCGCAGAACTGACTGATGAACGTGCTCCGGAAAGGAACAGATTGCACGGGAGTGAAAGACTGCCACTTTCCGTACTGCAACTGCCAATTGATTGACAGACTAACTCAATAACCGATTTCGATCCAACCCGGGATTTGAATCAGAGACCACATGCCACCCAGATAAGTCGTGTGACAATCACTAAAGCAACATGGTGGTCAAACTGTTAAAGAGTCAAAGTTCAAATTGAAACATCCTGTAAATATAGATACATCGAAACGTACTCAATCGCCGAGTGATCCGCGAACACACTATCTCTGTTGATTTCGCTTCATAACAACATGTTTCATCTTCAGACAAGATTAATATTGAGTGGAAATAAATGCAAAGTAACGGAACACATTGGCAGTACAATTTATTTTTTGAAATATGCCTTTGTAATAAAGTTAATTGATTCATAATTAACTTTATCATAGACGAATATTAATAAAGTTAATATTTTTTTGTTTCGCACTCGTTATTTCGACAGTTTGATTAGACACAAAAATGTATCAATAGAAAATGAAACTGAATATTTTTCATTCAATATAAATTATAATTAATACTAATTGAAAATCGTTCTTGTTGATTAAAACTATTTTTACGGATTTTATCGCGTTTAATATTAATTTTAATTATTTTTATTTTTAATTCCAGCACCCATGGTCACGGGGGACTGAGGTGACTGAGGTGAGGGCTGGAAAGCACAAACTATGTTTTTGTTAATTCTCAATTCCTCAGCTTCGTTGTAACTACTAATATGCCAATCTTGCTCGACTTTTACAAAAATGGCATCGGTGATATCCGTATGAGGGTAACCAGAGCAGACTGGGTCTTTTTCAAAAAGTTAGTTTGTTGCGTAATGGAATTCCACCGAGATAGAAATTATATTTAAGAAAAATATATATATATATATATATATTTCGTTTCGCTTGGTGAGTGCAGGTCTTAATTCCCGGCCGAAGGCTTAACTCCACGCCCCCCCCCCCCCCCCCTTTAACATGGTAGAGGAATCAATTACCAGCACCACTGGTGATGCAGAATCCCTCACTGAGCATCCACGACCAAGTTATCCTACTTTTCCTAAGTGTGGGTGCTCAGGCTGCCCCGCGTATACTGATGGGGGGGGGGGGGCATAATTCCATTTGCGACTAAAACTGCTCGGGGCAAGCGGCGCAACAACACCAATTCGACCTCTGCCACGCTATCCGTGAATTTTTGCAACATCAAGGGACTTCATTCCAACTTTACTTCTAAATTCAGTAGTTTCGATGTAATTTTTACTAAATATTACTTTCAATTTATATTCTTAACACTTAGTGATTTCTTATACACTAAATATTGATTAAAACTACTTTTACGGAATTTATCGCGGTTAATTTTAATTTTAATTATTTTAATTTTTAATTTCCGACGTTTCGTGTGCTTTCCAGCACCCATAGTCAAGGGAGACTGAGGTGACTGACGTCCCGATGTCATTGTTAAACCCGATCTATGCAAAATGAACTGACTATGTCCTGAGGTCTTGCAGTGGTATGCTTGGGTTTAGTTTTAATTTTATTGATTATAGGGCCCCAGCAAGTGGTAGTACTCAGCCTCCTTCTCTATTAAAATTAGGATGTTTTTTTAATTTCAATAGCATCACGTATCATCCGTGGTAGGAATCGGTGTTCTTTCGCGAGGATTTGTGGTCTATCAAATCTGATGTAATTATTGGGGCCGTCTAGGATATGATCACATACTGCAGACTTCCCCGAACGTTTATGCTTCACATCAGCTATATGTTCTTCTTAACACTTTTTCTAATTAGCCATCAAGATCTCTAATACTAAAAAAATATTATATACCTCAAATAGTCAAGTTCGTAGTGGTGATGACAACGTATCTTTGACGTCAAAATTCTCGGACTAAAAACGCTTAAACCATCTTTGTGCTACTCTTTTTGGAACTGTATTAGGTCCAAAAACGACGAATAATTTTTTTCGCAGCTTGAGGCGCATTTTTCCTTTTTTGGAATAAAACTTCGGAATGTATCGAATTTTTTCGTAAGATTCACTTATTTTGGTAGACAATAAAACAATTGAAAAGTGGTGGGAAAATGTTTTTTACTTTTATTCTTTTTCTTAAAAATGTCCTATATAATATATTAATATTAAAAGTAGTCAGATTTAATAGTAAAACCAAAGAGATTATTCTTCATTTTTATACAAACAAAATACGAATAAATTTTTTCCCCGACCTATTATAACTTTATTTCGAATATATATACAATTCTATTTTGAACACTCCCCATCTATTTCAACTATCTATAAATATTTACTGAAAGTCGCTGACTACGCGACTATACATTAATACAAAATAATATGTATACATTAATACGTGAAGAAAAAAATTTCATATTATTTTTAAGCATCTTGTGCGCACGGAGGACACATTCTCATCTCATCATCATCGCCTTACAAGATTTGGAATAATTATAGTCTTTGGAAGGTGAATGCATAAGGCTAAAATTTATATATAACTAACGATCTGACCCTGCTTTGCACTGGTTATTTCTGGATCTTGACAACAGCACCACCTGTCGGGTCCAATTGTGAATCTTAACCATCCAGTGGTGGAACCACGTGGCAACTTTTGCTGTTGCATGTATGGGCCGGTTCGAACCGGGATGGTACCACGACCTCACAGAAAACCAGCGTGAAGTAAAGACTCTGCTTCTGAGTTTCATCTGGTGAGTGCAAGTGGCTGGAGGCTCAATTTCCCCCCACCCTCCATCAATATGGTAGCGGAATCAAATGTGATACACCTGGAGGGTACCAGTACCACTGGTAATGGAGAATCCCTCGCTGAACATCCATGATAAAGCTACTCCACCCCTGAACGTCGGTGCTTAGGCTGCTATGAGTATTTTGGACGAGATAAAACCTACTCGAGGCAAGCTGAGCAATAAGATACAGGCGAACCCTGCCACGCTATCCGTGGCTTTCTGCAACATCAGGGGACTACACATGAACCTAAAAGCCGTCAAATTCCATCCGGAGAAGGCGAAGCTGACCTTGTTTTTCCTGACCAAGACGCAGGTATCCTCTACAACTGATACTTCGTATCTCTTCTACCCGGGGAACAAATTAGACTACTCCTTTGTACCTTGGGCTGGAGTTTGCGTATACGTCAGAGAAGACATCTCTTTTCGAAGCCTCAGCAGTCTTGAAGGTTTGGACTTGTCCATCCTTTGGCTACGCGTAGACAACAACGACCATCCGCGCGGCTACGGGTGACTCTGTAGGTCACATAGCGGTAATACTGAAACAGAGCGACTCATTGGCCACGTCTGAATGACTACAGATTATTTGCTACAGCAAATTCCAACCATAGAGGTTATGATCCTTGGCAATTTTACGCCCATCACGCCGAATGGCTCAACTCACGTTTAACGAATTATCCGTGGAGATCTGTTTATGACTTTGCCTTTGCATATGGTCTAATACAACTGAATTCTTTTGCCTACGCGAATTTCATAT